TAAATACTATAAATGGTGTTGTAACCAATAATTTTATTTTTATTTTAGTTTTTGCTTGTTTCCATTTGTGAAGCTCAAGCAGTAGAGCATGGCAATCTAGCAAGATTTCCTTTTTTTTTTTTTTGGTGACTCAAAGTAACCCACGATTTTCATAATCGTAATAAACATTTTGAATGCACACATGCACATTTCAAAACTTTACAGGCTTGTTCATGACCCTAAATGAGAAATTTTCACTTTTCCTAGATTCCAGTATTTCATATACATGCTTGTCTTGAACCTTTTTTCACCTCTTGTTCCAGTTTAGGTTGTTCTCTGTCTCTCATATTCATGTGCATTGCTCAACTTTTGTGCTAACCTGAAATCGGCCTACTTTACATCCCAGCAGTGACTGGCATTTGACCGGCTCAAATGTCAGGCATGCAATTATTAGTGTAGTAGCACATGAACCTGAAGTAAACTCTGGACAGCATGATGCTTTGACCAACGGATCTGTTAGCCGAGTTTGATAAATGGCCTGAATGGAGAGAAACACCGGGCGAGAATCAAGCGTAGAAGTGTGCGCAGAAGAAACAAGGCACTATGAAGCTGAAAGTTACTTTGACCTTGTCAAGCTGAGATTATTTACTGTGGCCTTGTCCATTTCAAGATGACTTTTGCACTGATTTCACTTTGTCCTCCAACAAGACATGTTTTTTTAACTGGGTCGGGGCACAAATACCGATACCGATAACAGAAAAAATGAGCATTTATCGGCCGATATATCGTGCATCCCTATTAACAACCAAAATCTAAAAGGAAATTATGATATCTGTAATACTTCTATGTAATACTTCTTGAGTTACAGCCATGCAAACCTGTGTTTTCTGTTTTTCCCATTTTTGAACCGTCACTATTGGCATGTAATGCAACAAAGTTTTCTAAATATTAAATGTGGAAAAATGAATCCACCGGGAACAGATTAGATTGTGAAAAGTGGATGTTACATTTCAGAATCAAGTCAGATATGAAAGTTTGCAATCAATTGACGTGAGGATGAAATTAATAAGATTTGATGTTTATTTGAGCCTCAAATTTCTGGGAACTACAATATGGATGCTGAAGGTCAAAATCACCCTCCATAAGTAATTCTTTCCAATTGTCTTTAAATCTATCTTTATTTGTTGTTGTTACAATTAGGGATGTCAACGATTAATCGATGATCGATTAATTGTCGATAAGAGATGCAATCGATTAAAGCTATCATGGTCG